TTTGCACACAAATCAAATTCTTCTAACTAAAGTGTATAAATTAAACATAAGAGACAACACATTTTTACTTTTAGCCATATTTTTTCCAAATATGCTCAACTAAATAATGTGTTAGTGAGTAATGTGTTAGACGATCATGAATCTTTTTCTATCTTGTCATGTACTCTACAAAAGTCAAAATCTCATGATTGGGTGGTTCCCTTTTGACATCTAGATTAGATATTCAACTTTCGTTACTGGTTCCTATCGAAACTCGTATAATTGATGTTCAACTATCATATTGAACATAATAATATAAGTTAACATAATATGTTTGCGCATCCCAAAATTGCCTCGACCTTCTAACAATGACGCATATTTACTATGGTATGCCAAAAAACCCTCACAACGTCATTGTGGTATGCCTTTGGTACTTTGAAAACCATTTCTTTTTTTGACTTCTTAGTTTGCTAATAGTCACCATAAATTTGACCCATTCATGATAAATTCCGTCAACCAAGTAATGACATTGATTATACATGCTACCATTACCTCATACTCAAATTTTGGAATAAGTCATATGCCTGCTTGATCAAGAAGTGGGAATACTCCAGAGTGTTAAGCCATTGTTCAATCTAGGTGTTTCAAAGAAGGTATGCCAAATCCAACTAGTATATGACACTACAACTTCAAGAATAATGGTTGGTTTTTTCTTATATCCTGTATATTAGCCTCACCAAGTTGACATACATGCTCTCATTGCCTATCATCGGCTTACGTTCGCCTCTCATAAGCTTCTCTGCTAGAGAAGCCATGATGGATAAAGAGTTGGTATATAGAGACAGATAAGGGGTGAATGATGGGATGAGTAGTATGATCAAGTTAAGGGCTCATTTATAAAAATATGAAAAGATTCTTTATACAACAATATGACTAAAGTTGGATGAACAATTGATGACATTGACTCACTACCACTATAAAACTATCCCACTATAGGCCAAGTGGAACCTATAATAAGGTGTAACATAGAGTAAGCATTTCAAATATCAACACGGGAGGACTATCTACCTTACTTCAACCGTCTACACGTTATCTAGTGATCAAATTGTGGTTAAAATTAACACTAACAAGCAAGCAACTAAAACGATTGTGAATTCAATTGAGAAAAGATCACTCGGACGATATTCCCCCTAGTCCCATGTTGTGATGATATCGTGATACTCTAAAGTTATAGGTAAACATTCATATGCCATTAGGAGCGCTAAAGTATCTAGGACCCCTATTCGAGTGCATCCTAGCCAGCTTGATCGAACTAATAGGAGGGACACACCTCATACCCACAAAAGTCGATAAAGGCAATAGATTCTACTCCCTCAAGATTAACCTGAAACAACGTAGAGTCACCAATCACAAGGATTCATGGCACTCTATGCTAATTGAGGATTGACCGAATTGCCTAAGGGGATTATCTCCCTCTTAAGTCAATTGTCACAAAATTGTGAGATTTTATCAAGAACACCCAATTTGCATAAAATTACATCAATTAATATATAAATCACAAAACCCATTCACAATAGAGTTCACAAACTAGAACTACAACTTTCTAAGACTATGGTTCCTGTGATTCAAGTGACAAGGAGGACTACTCCATAACTAGAATAGAAATAACAACTAAGATAGAGGAAAATCCCATAGCAAAGTGATTCTCCCTCTTCCTAGATGCTTGAAATGATCCTTGGAGTAGAAATCTGCCCACCAATTGACTTTGGTAGGTCAATTCCACCTTCTTCCCTTCTTTTCTCAAAGTTATCTCTTACTAACTTCGAAGAAGAACCCTTCACTTTCTCTATAACTCTCTCATTTCCTTATAACTCACTCTCCTTTAGATAAACCCCGAGTACTCATATCAAGGTCTCACTTCATGCTCGTGAAGTATGTACTGAAACAATGATCTCAACACAAAAGGCACAATTTCAGTAACATCATTCACAATATGGTTGTTGTCTTCACGGTCTTGAGACCATGATAATTACAATGCCCGCAAACTTCTCTAAGGGCCCTGGACAATTGTAGGCCTCACGGTTGGAGTGTTGACATCACGGTATGTAGATCGTGATCCTGACACTGTCTGCGAACTGCACAAAGTCTCTTGGAAGTGTGCAGTCTTCACGGTTTGGACGTTCACTTCATGGTTGCTCCCCGTGATAATCTCCGTCTGGCCATGATCCATGCACTTTTGTCAATTTCTCTCCCTTTTGCCGTCTTTTGTCCAACTTTTGATCCCGATGCCAATTTTACTTGCTAAGGTTTGAAACATGACAAAACAAGCACAAACCGAGCGTAAAATAGTTCGAAGGACGGTACAAACACATCAATCGTCGCAAGGCAAAGGGGTATAAATATCTGTAATCTATCCTGAATCAGACACAAATCATTCTAATTAATTTAGGATGAATAATTGATGGTACTCATTATGATTAGATTTGGATAAACAATTGATGAAACAGCTCAATCCATCAAATCTATAACCATCCAAACCAGCAATTGTGTTTTCATCATCGAATGCATCACATTTAGTGACATAAAAATACCTCAACATTAAAAAATACAACAAAATATCTGTCTTAATTAATTAGTACTAATTTTATAAAAATAAAGAATAAATTATCTAAATAAAATAACAAAATTAGCACTAAATTATATTCGAACAATAAAATAAGGTAACAATGCCATATTGTTAGAACTAAAAAAGGGCCAAAGTTCCAAAATCCTAAAACAAGTGCTCTAATGGCATGATCGAAGTCTAAAAACAAGTCAAACTTTTGGGGTCAAATTTTGCACGCAAGAAGACGGAAGTGTCAAAATGTGAGAGCTCCCCTCTTGATCATGTGACCAAGTGCAACTCTTCCCTCCAACTCTAATTATAACAAAGAAGTTTCTTTTTCAGCCCCCAATTTCACCCGATCAACTTCTCTTTTACTCCGAGAGCTATTCTTTAAAAAATTCACTATGAAACCTCTCTTCAATTCTTCATGTATATAAGAATGCTTGAGACACCTCCAATGAAACATCTTTTCAAATCTTCCTTGTTTCTCTTTGCCCCGAACCAAATCAAGCATTTTCAAAGGGTCATCACCGGATCCACCAAGAGGGATTAGTGATGTTGCGGCCTCGTCTTGGCAAAGAGAATTCCTAAAAGGATCCTTCTCTAAAAGTGTATCAAGGTGGGGTGAAAAGTTTGAGGAGTACGCGTAACTCGTGGAAGCTTCATCCACTTCGACCTTGTCCATTGGTTAGAATCCAAATGCGTCTTCAACATCCTCTCTTTCTTGTTTATTCATTTCTTCCCAATATTGAATATCAAGCTCGTTCTCTTCCTTAAGTTCGCTTCCACCACATCAAGGCTCTCTTGTAAATCCACTCTTTGTTGGTCGGGAGCTATGAGGTGTCTCCAATCAAGTTCTTCACTAGATTGATCTTCGATGTCCTCTTGCTCGCCCATCGTGGAGACTTCTTCCTCTTCCTCTCTTTCCTCTTCATCTTTATCGTCCAAGAGGTGTACTTGTTGGAGTCTCGAACGAATTCGTTCGAGCTCTTTCCTCTTGTCCAATTCTCTTTATTCATTGAGGAACTTTTGAAAGGAAGGGTTGGATGTCCCTATAGTCTCCACCTTTTCCTCTTCGATCTTCTTCTCTTCTTTGACGGGTGAGAGTCGATTGTGAGCAAGTTGTGCACATGCTTGCCCAACAACCTCTCCTAGTCTCTCCGTTTTCTGGAGGGTCTCCTCTGATGCCCTTAGAAGAGATGTTGTTGCTTAATTATACGCCTACTTACATACAATTTAAAGATAAAGTTAATTAGTTATTTTTAGGGCCCTACTGGATTGCTAAAATTATATCGTATTAGCTTAAGATATAATTATACGCCCACTGGCGTACAATTTAGAGATAAAATTAATTAGTTAGTTGGACTTGAACTTTTTCGGTTGTCTATGTACCCGTTATACAAGATCAACGTCCACTTAGTTCGTTCAAAATTTGGGTGTTTTAGTTATAACCACGCTCCATTGATCCTGATTATCGAATATATGATTTTTATTAGAGAAACATATATATATATATAAAGAGAATAATATTTTTAATTTTGAAACTTCAAAAGAGGGTTTGCGTAATTGAAAAAGTTGGAATCGACTGAATTTAGAGATTTGTAAAATTTCGTATTAAGGAAAAAAAAAACAATAATATACTATACTTTCATGGATAGAACGATTTCAAGCTTGATGTTCGCCTAGCCCTCTTGCTAAAACGTCGGTCGTATTAGGGATGACAATGGGTCGGGTTTTCCCAAACCCAAACTCAAATCCATGGGTTTATTCGTGAAAAATCCGGGGTAAAACCCACTGGGTTTGAAAAACTCAAACCCAACCCAACCCGTTAGGTATCCGCGGGTTCATGGGTACTCACGGGTTTTTATCGTAAAAAATTTACAATAACAAGTTCCTATCAAAATTAAAGTCAAATATCAATCTCTCAATACAAATTTTTCATATATAAAACACCATTCTAAAAAATTCAAACAAATCATAAATTAACTATACAAATTGTTCAACACCAATATAGAAACTCAAGAAAATTGAAGCAAATCACAAATTATTTATAAATAACATGATTAATTGAAAACTTCTTCTTCCTTGTCAATTAAGTTTTTTCACTCTCCATTCAATAACATCAATTTCATTCTACACAATTAGAAAAAAAAATTAGACATGTCTCCACAAACATAAATAAGATTAGTTGTTTAAAATATTAAATATACCAAAAAAATTAATTATATGAGTGTGGACGGGTACCCATGGGGCGAGTTTACCTAAATCCAACTCAATAAATAGTGAACGAGTTTAAACCCAAACCAAAACCCATCAATACGGATTTTACCCACGTTGACCGAGTTGGGTAACCATAAATTCTAGTTGTTGCCATCCCAAGGTGGTATATACATCTGAGTCCCGACCCGAGAATCCAGTTTCTAATCTCGGGTTACACTATTTAGGTGATTGTCATTTTTAACTGAATTGCTATTCGTCGCCCTAAAATTTGAATTTTATCGCCCTAAATCAGACCAAAATGACAAAGAAACCCCTATCCCCAATTCAAACCTAAATCCTAAAAACAAACTCAGTAACTCACGCTCCGAAAACCTACAGCCGCCTAACCAAGAACACTCCCGCCGGCATACCCACCTCCCTCATGCCGCCTAACCCCCAATCCCTCCCTCCGCCGCCTAACCCACCTCCCTCACGCCGGCAAGCCCAGAACCGGCAATCCCTCCCTCCCACCGCCTAACCTTCCAGATGCTAGCCTCTCGCTTTCTCAATTCCATGCGAGATGCAAGAGAATTCCTCTTTGGGGGTTCTGATTTTGTTTGAGTGTTTGATGAGAGAGAGGTTGGTGCCTTGGTACGTGGTAGAAAGATAGAGAGGTGGAAAATAATAAGATTTCAAAAAAAAAAATTATTTCACATGTTAATTTAACGGTCAAAGATTATGGTTGACTGCCATCTAAGATGAAGGTGACAGAGTTTAACGGTCTGTGATCAATTATGAAATAATGATGTAAAGTTAGTGATCAATAAGTAAGGAAAATTTTTTGAGTAGCAAAAGTGAAACAAATTGATTAACCGAGTGACCAAACATGAAATTCATCTGAACTAAGGACATATAAGTAAATTTGACTTAATTAGGGCGACGAATAAGAAATTTTAGGGCGACGAATAGCAATGCCCATTTTTAAAACAGAGAAAAATCGGGGTGCATTTCGGTAATTAGGCAAAAAACGCGGTGGCAGGGATAGTAAATACAACGAAACCATAGGGGACAGTTTAGTCATTTTAAACTAGGCGGCCGCCGGTCAGCTCACTCTCTCACTCCTTCGCCTCTCTCTCGTTCTTTCTCTTCTCTAAGCCTCCCCTGAGACAGACGAGAAAAAGGAAAAGAAAACCCTTCCTCTGACATGCGAACAAACGCCACAAAACGAAACCCCTCTTCCTCTTCTTGATTCTGCAGACGACGATAATAAAAACGGAAGGCATACCCCGCCGGCGACGACAAGGTAGACATCGTCGGAGACTACAACGACGGTGACTAGGAGGGAATTCGAAGGTTCGTTCTTTAATTTTTTTTGTATTTTTGTCTTTGCATGTCGATTCTTAGGCTTGAGATTCTGATTTGAATCTTTGTTTATTTTGGACTTGCATTTTGAATCCTTGTTCTCGCATTTTGCTTTCCAGTTCAGATTTGCTTTCGTTACTTTTGAAGAATGTAGCTGGTGATTTCGAGGGACGCCAAGGCTACTCAATGGTCTCTGAATTTCAGTGTGTGTTTTGTTTTGTTATAATCTTGCTAATTTGAATCTCAAAGACTTAAAACTAAAACTATGAGATCTATTGTAGCCTCGGACCTCAGTGGTTGTGATGTTTGTTTCTTCCAATAAGTAACAAAGACGAAAGGAATTTGCATAGCTTTTTGTGTTCTCACGTGAATAAGCTCAATGGGCTGGGGTTATCTTCTGCACTGGGCAATCGAATGCCGTAATTAGCTCCTGTTTGTTGATATGCATGCAGAACAAAAAGCTCCTAGGTGACTTGGGATTGGAGGGTCCCTGCATTTTCAATTGCTCTTGGTTGATCAATAGATAGATTGCATAGGCATGAGAATATGCAGTGGATGGCGCCGTTTCCTCATTTTTCTTCCTATTCTTTTCATCCTTTCTCATCTGCTCTATGGTAATCATCTCTTGAATATTTGGAACATTATTTGTTTTTCAGTCAAGTTGTAGTAATGTTGTGACCGATTCTTTTTGCAGTTTTTGAGTTACACCCAGAGGCTGTCGAAAATCGGTCCAGGAAGGAAAACAAAAAATCTGATCATCTGGTTCTTGGGCCTGCTGCAGGTCAAGGCTTTCCTAATCGTTTGCAATGCCAAGGTTGTTTGTTGGATACTCTTGAAAATCAGAACTGTGGTCTCATTAATAACATATTATCTACCACCAGGATTCCGGATGGCTTTTCACTTTTAGGCTTTAGGTTTGCTGCCTTATGTGTTACTTGACTTCATTCCCCCTTTTTTTGTACATGCAGGCTATCGAGCGCTGAACAAGACGCATGTACAAACATCTTCTTTTCCTTCCAATTTAGGGGTTGGAGTATCTTTCGTCACCGTATTCACCATTTATAACTCTTCAGTGGGTGTTCATGCTGAGAGTCGATCATCAAATTTGGTTACCGTTGGAAGTGCTTCATATACAAAGACTGAGAGGTCACTGGCCATTCTGAATGTCTACATTAACTTCATTCAGGTACTTTTTCCACTCAAGTCAAGGGACTAGTTACTTTCGTACACGTAGAATGAGGAGTAACTTGTCTGGATACTGTTGAGGTTTAACTGCCATTGCATTTAAGTTTCTCTGGTAAATATATTATTATTTTTGCAGGTGGCAATGCCTCGGAGCAATGTTGTCATTCTGACTGATCCAGCATCTGATCTCTCGATTCATCGGAACCATGTCAGTGTATATCCAGTTAAGGGTGAATATTCCCGGGACAACCTGATGCTCCAACGGATCAGATCTTACATTGTAAGGGCTCATCAAATTGATAGGTAGAACATTTTTGTTATCGTCTTAGTTACATCGCTTTTCTTCACAGAAAATTCCTTCCTTAAATTGACTTCCGCTGGTTGTTCCTGTTTATTTCATTTTTGTTATGATTGTGGAACTTTTTCTTCCTTCGACAACTGTATCCAAAGTGATGTGGGAAACAACTCATGAAAAATGACGCCTATCAATTCAGAAAGTTGGATTTTCTTTTCCCCCCTTTTCAGGCTTTTCTAGACATCAAGCTGAAGGACCCGGTGAAAGAGCCTGGGCGTATAAATCACTACATCTTCACCGACTCGGATATAGCTGTAGTTGGTGACCTAGGTCACATGTTCCGTGACTACCCGAATTTTCATCTGGCTCTCACCTTTCGCAACAATAAGGGCCAGCCTCTTAATTCAGGGTTCATAGCTGTTAGAGGAACTCGTGATGGAATCTTTAGGTAAATGTGAAGGATTCTTTGAATTAGGGACCTTGAACTGTGCTTTTGGGCTGAGTTGTGGGGGCAAAGGGATTCACTTGGACTTTTTTCCTACAGGTCAAAGATATTCCTTGAGAAGGTACTTCAAGTATACAGTTCCAAGTACATGACTGCTTCTAGAATGCTTGGAGACCAGTTAGCTCTTGCATGGGTGGTGAGGTCTCATCCTGCTTTTGACTCGGGGAGATTTAGCAAATCACGGGCTTTTCAAGAAGACATAGACGGTGCATCGGTGCTGTTTCTACCGTGTGCTACACACAATTGGACACCACCAGAAGGTGCAGGGCAGTTCCATGGTATGCCGTTGGATGTCAAGGTATATATAGCCCAGTTGTGTCCTTTCCCCCCGGGAACTTTGTTTTTCCTTTGTTTTTGCCCGGTAACAATCAAGTCAACTATGGTAAGTGGGGGGAGATCTTTGTGTTTGTGGTTTTGCTTGCAGGTGGTTCATTTTAAGGGTTCGAGGAAGCGACTAATGCTGGAGTCTTGGAACTTCTTCAATTCCTCGTCTACTGTGAGCGTATCCGACATGTTGTGCCTCGTTTTAATGAGCGGGAGAACTAAGTATGACTTTTGAATCATGTAAACAGTTGGGAGAAACAGATAGCAACCAGTGGCCTGGTCATGGCGGGAAAAACCTTGGGTTAATTTTGAGGGGAAAAGAAGGGATGTTTTTCTTTTCTTTTTATGGGGCAATCATTGCATAATCGAAATACTCTGCTGTGCATTTGTTTTCTGAACTTTGCTCGAAGTTCTAGTTCACATCTGATGCTTGGCTCGCTCATGGAAACAAACCCCACAGATATGACACACTAGTCGTTATCTTTGTAGTATAGGGTACGGGGCAAAAGTCAAAACGATACGATGTGCTACTCGGGGTGAATTTAGCGTTATTGTATAATAATGTCTTGGGGTTTTGGGGAAATTGTAAAGTTGATCACTGAAATTATTAAAAACATTTATGTTTGGTTACTAAAAATATTTAATTTCATTTGTGGTCACATTTTAGTTAAATGTTTCAAGTTTGGTCACTTTCCGTCCAACTCCGTTAACTTTTGCTTATGTGGCAGTCAACTCTTATAGTTGACCGTTAAATGTGTGACATGTCAATTAAAAAATAATAAAATAAATTTTAATTATTTATAATTTCCAACTCATTTCCAACTGTTAAAAAAATAAAATAAAATAATTTGTATTTCCCTCCGATTCACCTCTCTTCTCTCTCCACGCAGTCGTCGTTCACTCTTTCCCCGGCAAGATAGCCGCCGACTCCTCTAAATCCCTAGCCGTCGTCCCATAGTTAAATATTTCCAAATCCCTAATTGTCCCACAGTTCACTCTTATAACCGGCGGCGGCGATCGAGGCTGTATGCGTGCCGTGACCAATGATTCCCAGTTTAGCCACACTTTGGGAACCCTCCGGTGATTCGATTCCTGCTCAGTCCAAGTAAGAAATTTCATATGGGACGACTAGGGATTTGGAAAAGTTGGTGGCTATTTTGCCGGCGAATGAGTGAACGACGCCTCGTGCAGAGAGGAGAGGGATGTGAATCGGAGGGAAATATAAATATGAAAATTTTATTTGTTAGTTAGAAATGAGGTGGAAATATAAATAATTAAAATTTATTTATTTTATTAGTTTTTAATTGCCAAGTCACACATTTAACGGTCAACTATAAGAGTTGACTGTCACATAAGCAAAAGTTAACGGAGTTGGAAGGAGAGTGAACAAACTTGAAACATTTAACTAATTTTAGTGACCACCAATGGAATTAAATATTTTTAGTGACCAAAAGTGAACGATTTTAGTAATCCTAATGACCAGCCTTGCAATTTACCCTAATATCTTGAATTGATAAAATTTTGGGGTAAGGAGGAATTATACTCTAATCCTTAATAGTAAGCCTCATATTTCTCTTAAATCTTAAACCATCAGATGATAAATCTAGCTGAAAATTTTACGTGCAAATTATTAGCTGAAAATTAGGGATTTTTAATTGGGTTGTTGGTAGTGGGATAGTGCTCTGTAGCTAGTTTTTAGGAGTAGTAGGTTTGAGCTTTGCCTATATAATTTAGTTTGAATGGTTGTAATTGGGAGCTCAGAAGATTAATCAAAGGAACACATTAGTGTTAAGGAGGTCGGCTTTGCCTCGAAGAAGCCATTCTCAACTCTTCTTCCCTTCCCTTCTCTTCGTTTCCCTCTTTCTCTTGTTCTTAACCCCTCTATTCCCTTCTTAGAAAACAGAGTCCCAAATCCTTCTTGAAACCTATCGAGAAGAAAGGCACACAACATCTTGTTGAACCTGAACCTTGTTCGTTGGCGGAGGGTAGACCTAGAGGATGAAGCTGGACGGAGGGAGGAGCAATCATGATCGAGGAAGAAGCTAGGCTAAGTCGGAGGGAGAAGCAGCTGGATAGAGGTTCTGATTTATGCTTAGACGGAGGAAGACATATTCGGACTTGCAGGTAGAGGTGGCAATTCTCAATCCAATCCACCAGTCCATTAAAAATATCCACCTAATCCAATCCATTTAAATCCAATTCATTTGATCCAAATCCAATTGGATTGGTGGATTCATGGATCAATCCATGGATCCAAATGGCAAATTACGGTTTGGTACCTATAATTTTCATATTTTACATTTTGGTACCTGAAATTTAATTTTTTATACAAAAAATATCATTGGAAAATTACGTTTTGATACCTAAATTTTTTCATTATGACATTTTAGTACCTAAACTTTTTACATTTTACATATTGGTCCTTGGTTGAGGATGTCATTTGGATTCATGGATAATCCACCAATCCACTTGATCCAATCCATGAATCCACCAATCCATTGAATCCAATCCATTTAATCCATGGATCCACCAATCCAATCCACCAATCCATGGATCCAATCCATTTGCCACCTCTACTTGCAGGGCCACTGGAGGGATTTTCTCGATGCAGACTGTGGCTTCCTCGTCCAGAAGTATGGATTGAAGTGTGGGGTTTTCGACAGTCGAACGAAGAAGGGATAATGGGAGTAATAGAAAATAATTGATTTTAATTTTTTAATTCGGTTCGGGAAAAGGAAAAAGGAATTGCTTAAAAAGCCATGGGCTATTTGGTCATTTTACACCCCTTTAAATAACTAGTTAGCATATTTTTTAACGGGAAGGTATGTTTATTACGTTTGAATAATAGAGGGGTATGTTTGTGCAAAAAAATAGTATAAAGTTACGTTTGTTAATTTGCAATAATTAGGGGTGACTATACTATACGGTCCGGTCCGGTTAAATTGGACCAAATTGATCCGGTCCCAATCCGGTCTTTTCGGGAATATAAGGACCAAAGATTGGATTGGATACACTCCGGTCTTGATCCGGTCTGGTCTTGACCAGGTCCGGTCCCAATTTGATTTTGATTTTAGATTGAGTTTGTGGAATTTGAGTGTTGGGGTCTCTTATCTGGTCTTTATCCGAGTTTTTTTTACCTCAAATCTAAGCCCGAATATGAGATTGGATTGTTTGCTATCCGGTCCCGGTCTGGGTTATACGGTCCGGTTTCGGGTAAAACCAAACAGTCCTAGACCAAATTGCCAGCCCTAGCAATAATAGAGGGGTATGAAATGCTATTAACGCATTGTTATATTGTTAGATATATTATTAGCTATTAGGACTATACTTAGTTATTGTCATATATCTTTTTAGCTTAGTTATTTTAAATCTAGCAAAACTTTAAAATTTTGGAAAAACTTATAATTATATAGTAAGGATAAGACTGGTGTACTTCTGGAGTATACTATACTATGGGTACTCATAGTGAGATATCTCTATTTGGACCATGAATTAAACTGAGTTTGATGTATGATCTATACACTAACCTGTATTGGACAACTCAGACCCTGATTCTATAAACCCAAATCCGAAGACTAATTTAATAAAAAGAATCGCCCCATTATGAATTTTCGAACTACAACAAAGTAGATTCAATGGTCAAATCACTTGAAATATTATATACTCCAGAAGTATATCGGTTGTTACCATAGTAATATATATGATTTTAGATATATGTACTTGAAATCAATCCAAAAGAACTATTGATTTCCAAACCTCATGAATTTTCTGGCATGACCTTTCACCTGTGTATTTGGCTCAACTACACATCCCCATCGACGGCGAAGTATAACCGAAAAATAGGTGGAACATAGGGTAAACAAGCAATAAATTTTTTGAACCATGGGTCTCCTTGGTGTACCTTACTTCGGCTTGAGGTTTCGTTATCTAGCCAATCTAGAATAGTGATTAAGAAACTAACCTAGCTACACTAACCTAACCACTACCTTACAAGTGGTGGAGCTCTCTTAGCTTGAATCACCCTAGTTCTATCATTTGGATCGATATTGTGTACTATCCTAGGTCGATCGATTCAATTCATCTACTATTTAGGAGCTATACTCCCTTGAGAATTGGCCCGAACGGCGTAGCGGTGGATGGTAGTGTTCTATTCAACCCAGAGTTTCATGTACCATCAAGATATCAACTCTATCGATTCCCTCGGGGATTTCCCGGGAAGATATAAGATAGGAGTGACCCGAAGACGCCAATAATGGGCTGTAAGGGGATCTCCTTCCTAGGTCAAAAGCTCAATTGACATAAAATGGGAACCAAACTCATGCAATCCATGAAAACCATCCATCAAATAAATAAATTCATCAATCAAACATAAAATCTGTCACATATATCAACATCAAACCAAAATCTAGACCTAGTGTTCATCTACCTAAGAGAAAGAGGTCTAGGTCATAGAGAGAAGAGAGATTACAAAAATAGCTCAAGATCTTCATCTTCTAGACTTGATTTCCTGACTCCAAGATCAACCCAAACCTCCAATTAAGCTCCAAGATCACTCAAGGTCACTCTCTCTCTCTCTCTCTCTCTCTCTCTCTCTCTCTCTCTCTCTAAAAACTCCTCTTTGGTGTTTTGGGTCAACATCCTAGAGAGAGAAACAAGTTCTTCTCCAAAAACCAACCCCTTCTTTCTACCAGCTACTGTCTTTTTATATGCCCGACAGTGCCGACTTCACGGTAACTGTTCACGGGGGTGGTAATAGCAAGCAGACGATGATCTCAGTAAAAAATGCACAATTTTGGACTAACTTCACGATCTCAGGGCAATTTTCGGGCCCACAGCCAGTGAAGTCTGACCATGACCGCGAAATTTGCAAAGGTTGCTAGAAGTTGCACACACTCCACGGTCTGGGGGGAGATTTTCACCCCATCAGGGAGTGATAATTGCCTCCTGCCCCGTGAAGTATTGCACTTCACGGTTTGGGGGAGATGTTCACTCCCCTAGGGGGTGATTAGTACTTCAACATAAGGGTTGTATTCCACACGAAGAAGAATTGAATTACAATTCTGAAGAATAGCCAAAGGGAGTGGCAGAAGACCCAATCCAACTACATGCTAGCTAGAATTACATTTTTGACGAATAGCCAAAGGGAGTGGCAGAAGACCCAATCCAACTGCATGCTAGCTTGAGACTTCTTCTTTGGCTTTTACTCAGATGAGATGTGGTCCACTTGCTCCTATGGTCACGACTTTACAACACCTGAGGCAACTAAATGGATGGCAACATGCACTAAATTCGCATAAGAAGAAATATGTAAGACAATTAATGGGATGAAGGCTTTGTGGGCACTGGAAATGAAATGCTTATTCTTACGCGACCGGACCGGTTAGTATAACAACACTAGTCTCCAACCAATAGGAAGCTAGGATTGTGATGACTTTTTATTAGATTAGTTGACCTAGTGTAAAATCAAAGCAGGGGTATAATTGTCATTATGAAAAATCTGTTTAAATAATAAAAAAATAAAAAATAAAAATAAAAAAATATTTTTTTATTTTCTGCCCAAAAATTTGGTCGTCGGAATCCGACCACCGGTCGCCGGAATCTGGCCGCCGGTCACCGGAATATGCTTTTTTGTCGCCGGAATATGCTATTTTGTCATCGGAATATGCTCACGGTCGCCGAAATATGCTTACCGGCGTCGGAATATGCTTACCGGCATCGGAATCTAGTCACCAGGGCCGGAATATGCTTATCGGCGCCGGAATCCGGTCACTGACGGTCATCGGAGTTTGGTCAACGAACTTCGTTGACCGGTCAACGGTCAACGACCACCGGATGTATGGTCTACATTGTGAGATTTATGGTTTGGTTTCTTACATTTTTGTATGCCTTTTGTGGTTTGCTTTATCGCGTTTGTGGTTTGCATTACGAAGTTCCTGGTTTGCTTTATCGTGTTTGTGGTTTGCATTGAAAAGTTTCTGGTTTGCTTTCAAAAACTTTGTGGTTTGCATTGTGGGGTTTTTGGTTTGTTTTAGGAGATTTGTGGTATGCATTAGGAGGTTTCTGGTTTGTTTTTGTGGTTTGCTTTATCGTGTTTGTGGTTTGCATTGAGAAGTTTCCGGTTTGCTTTCAAAAACTTTGTGGTTTGCATTGTGAGGTTTCTGGTTTGTTTTAATATATTTGTGGTATGCATTCGGACATTTATGATTTGCTTTTTTATGGTTTGATTTACTGTGTTTGTGGTTTGCATTAGGAGGTGTCTGGTGTGCTTTCGCAAATGTTGTGGTTTGCTTTGTGAGGTTTCTAGTTTGTTTTAGGAGATTTCTGGTATGCATTAGGAGGTTTCTGGTTTGCTTTATTGTGTTTCTGGTTTGCATTAGGAAGTTTATGGTGTGCTTTCGAAAAAATTATGGTTTGATTTGTGGGGTTTCTGGTTTGTTTAAATGGATTTGTTTTAATAATATGTTTCGAAAGATTTGAGGTATGCATTAAATGATTTTTTTGCCATATTTTGTGGCCAGATGCAGAAACACACCACCAAAATTTGTAGCATCATCACTTGAGTTGCTACTTGCAAGTTACTACTTACATCCATATAACTAAAAGAAGCATATGTAGTTCCCTCAAGTACCACTACACAACCGACATGTATCCAAATGACATAATCCTAATAAAATCCAATCAATAGACAAGCAATGTAAGCAGACAGGGTTATTTATATAGTGATGAAGAAGGCTTGACAATCAAAATGAAATGCAACATATGAAACTAACAGAAAGCATAGGGTAATGGCAAATTCTCTACATCCCACGCTACACATTTAGGTTTGACTAATAAATCCATGACCATGGAGGACATACAGAAGCATTTGATCAACCATGCACTGCTCTCCCAACTCCAAGAACGTCTCTGAAATCCTAATTGCAACACGAAACCCAGATTGTGATTTTAGATCACAAATCCAATTCCCACGAAGCACAGAGACTAAGAATCGAGTAGAAGAAATAGAATTGAACCAATGCATTGATCCTCCCCCAGGCCCCCGTGAGCGCTTCTCGTACAATGATGAATCCAAAAGTTTCCGCGGTGGCGAAACTACGTCTTCTGGTGAAGAATCGGCCAAACAATCGAGCATTGATCGGCGAATCCGCCGTTAATTCCTCTTCTCCGGTGCAACAATTCATTGACCCAGGAGAACGCCGTCCCGGCTCTATAGAATCCCTCCCTCCACGAAGGCAACAAGGACCGCCGGAGCTATCAAATCTCTGGTCTACGTGTTGAAGACAAGGACGGAGACATCACGGCCGGCAGAAGAGCTGCCTCAAATCGCCGCGGCCACATATTACGACTCCAGATCTGAGATGATGTGGCTATGGATTCGACGATTTCTGATTGGATGGTGGAATCCAAGTCTCGAAGACGGCGGATGAAAGGGGCCTTCTACTAGTAGCACACCAGCGCCACCGCAGCGCTCTCCGTATCCATCACCGTCGCATTGAACTCGTCGGCGGCGGTGTGGTTATGGTCGGGAGAGAGTCGATTGGTGCGATGGCGCCGACGATGGGAAAGGATTGGCGCTGGAGAAGAACAAAAAATTGGTGTTCAAAGGTATAGATCTGGCCGCTGCTGCTGAGAGAGAGATAAAACGCGCTTAGATATTTAGTTTTTGTTTATTTATTACTTATTGTTATTTTACTATTATGCCCTTGTTGTTAGTATAACAACAATTAGACTGTTGTTATACTATCCACACCCTTACGCGACCATTGGCCATGTGCTATTAGAGTTTGCAATGCATTCTTATGATAATCCATGCACAGTGTCGAAGTTCAATGCAACAGTTTTAGTTTGCATACCGAAGATCCCACATCCTACCATCATTGAACAGTTCATGACGATTAGCTTTGTAACGTAGCTTTCAAGGCAATAACCTAAGAAACTTAAGCCTCTTATGCCAACTTTGATCCACGAGACACAATTTGATTTTGTCCCAGGTAGACATATCAGGAATTGCATCTTGTATGAAGTGGTTCACTGCATGAGATATAATCATGACCAATTGGCATGGATGGTATTGAAAATCGACCTGGTTAATTGGATTAGATGGGAGTTTGTGAGGGAAAAATTTCAGGCTGTGAGTACCTCTTGTGGCCTTCGAAAGGGATGCCCTCTGTCACCTAACTTATTAACTCTTTGCATGGAATGGTTAAGTCATTTAATTACTAACACTATGAGTGATGGCCGATGACAACCCTTAAAGTTGATTTGGCAAAGTCCATTCATTTCTCATATCTTCTTTGCAGATGACCTCATTCTTTTATGGGAGGCAACGATGAAACATGTTCAAGTTAGTAATAACTGCTTTGAGCTCCTTGAAACACCTTTCGGGAAACAAGTTAATAGGTCCAAGTCTAAAGTTTTCTTCTCGGGTGACATCAACAACAATCAAACACATAACTTAAGCATGTCATTGGACATCCCTCAAATCACCTACCTTGTGAGATACGTCGAAGTCCGATTATTCATGATTGCGTCTCAAAAGAAACTAACGTTGAGCTAATTAACATGATTGATTCTCGTCTTGCTAGATGGAAGGCTTCAACAATGTCCTTAGTGGCATGGATCTTCTTTTATACTGTAGGGATAGGCTCATCACTTGCTAAAACATTGTTTGAAGGAACTTGCTGGCTATTGTGCAATAACCGGAATAACGATGTGTTCCATCGTAAGTTTGAGACTTATGCACAACTGCAGCTTAACACCAAACAACCAAGGCATCACATCATCACATCTTTTGGGAAGGAGAGCACAATTTTTGGAATTGGGAGAGCTCGAGAACGATGACTTATATAATGGAGACCTCCCTAGTAGGATTGGACATGCCTCAATACATATGGGTATATCGTTCACTCTCCTTCTAGCAAGATAGTTGACGACGTTGTAAGGGAAGACAATGACCGCTTTCTTAGTGCTTCTTCGGTAAAGTTTGGAGGGGGTTCCATTACCAGTGCAGAGATAGCTGGTATTGTGCATTATCTCAAAATTGCCTAGGAATTGGGTGTTATGAAAGTTCTTCTACAAGCTGACTCATAACCAAACACCCAATCGAGACCGCAAAAGCTACATTATTCGACAATTGCAGAGATGAGGTGATTTATGTCTTTGCAGGTTAGTTTATAACATTTTAGATCATGTTTATCGAGAAGCCACCTTGTACCCGACTACCTTGCTATCTTAGGTCATTGTATGCATGTAAGAGAACACAATTTTTCTTCACCTTGTCACTCCCTTAGTTATTGGTTGTTATGCATAAAAGTTGTGGCGCCCTTTAAACGCTCTATTTTCTAAAAAAAAACAATTACCTAAAAATATATAATCATTCAAATAAATCAAGTAGAAAGTCAAACTAGAATTCACAGACATGGTATTTTTCATCTTAAATCATGTTTTAAGTAAATCTAATTGTCTTAAAAAAATTGGCTTGGGCAATTATGACAATTAAAAGTATTAGTTTTCATAACTTTGATACATTATTTTTTAGTTTGTTTTTCTTTTTCAACAATACGAACAGAAATATTTCGGCCTCCAAAAGCTTGAATCCTGGCTCCGCCATTATAATGAGCTGGGACATCAATCATCAGCTCATATGTTTGCCATTCGCATCGTTCAGAAAGCCACAGAAAAGAGAAGAAAGATACATCACCTTCAAAATCAACAACCATGACCATGACTGACGGGCCGGGCTGTGCAGACTTTGCTTTGCATAGAAACAAGAACATTGCTTTCCATAGTTGTAGTAATTATCTCCACAAGCAAGCTTTCCAGGGGAAAGTACATAAAAAGGACAAAGTTTCTTGCCTTCTGCTGTTCTGAAGTCATGAATTCGTGAAGGAGAAAAAACAACTCAGTAACAGGATTAAGTGATTAACCTTGCAGATGCACGGTGGACTGGCTGGTAACTACAATGATTCAAACCGGAACTCAACAAAACAATGATTTATTCAACACGCTCGCACAGCTTCTAATGAACATAAGCAGCAACTAAATTGGACTCTATTAGCGGCCGCAGCATCTGCAAGCAAACGACAGTAAAGAACACGACAACAAATGATGGTTCCAGCAGTAAGCTAAGAAACATGAACTACTTGTCAATTCATCCTCTAGAACAAGTCAGGCAGATCAACATCAATAAGGCCCCGAAAGGGAAATCAGGTGAAGCAGATGAAGATAAAGAAGAACAATGACAGAATGACAACACTTCTTACCATTTATCAGCACCAAACCATCACTCTTTTCCCTTTTGTCAACACAACAGGTCTTTGAGAACTACCAAACAAACCCAGATATCTACTACTTCAGTATTTATATGCAAGTAATCATCCTTTTATGATGTAGGACCACATGTTGTAAGAACTACTACCACTCCTTTCCATGATTGCCAAAATCCAGTACCTCCAGCCTCGTATATGTCCCAGCTATTCAGGAACCACCTGATGCAGATAGTGCAAATCGTTAACCATCCTACCAAAAGCAATCAACCATGATATGTTTCATACTAAGGTATCTTCATTTCCAAGTATCGGATAATTCGGAGGCAAATGGGAAAATGAATTCATATGAAAATGACCATGGTTCCATGTACAGATATCAAATTTCTCTGACCACAAGCAGAAACAAACCGTTGATCAATTCTTCAATGCCAAATCCATCCAGACTGACGACGGACAAAGCATGAACATGGAAGTTACAAGGCCAAGCAACAACTTCAGACATCAATTCTTAAACCAGAAACTAATATGAAGCTTATTGCCTAACATCAATCTAGTGGGAAAGGAACACATTAACTCGACATAGAGTAATGCCTGTTACAGCTTTTAGCTAATACTAGTATAGGATTCTGCACAATTTGTAACTTGTAAGGGCTATGCCTTTGCAGGGATGGAAAGTACCAAGGTATCACGAAATAAAACTCCAAACAAGTCCAGCCTGTGACAGGCAATGTATAATTCTGTAAGATTATCTGATGTTTACCATCAGATTATCAAAAGACTGTTACGGCAAGCAACAGATGAAATTCAGAAAGGAGCAATACAACACTGACGGTAAGTCAAATGAAAGTGTAGCATGCAAAAATTTCTTCAAGTAAAACACTGATCGAGACAGGACATCATTGACTTCTCTATCAATCACAGACTGGTAAGAACGACACAAATACACTAGAAATGATAACAAAATAACAATAGTTTTCTTGTTGTATTCACTATTTACCAGAATGGTGATCTCACAGACTTGTTACTTATGCACCAACTGTTTAAGAGTAACAAAAGAGTTAATTGAAAGCTATACATGAGTAAGGAGGGTCAAACTCCATACCTCAAGTTCTTATATACTCAGCTAGAGTTGCATATGACAAGTAAAGGATTCAAAGAAACAAAAGTTGACCTCACGATAATATCCAACAAGAATCTGGAAGAGCTAAATCATCGTGTGCTATTTTATTGAACTTGTCTAGAAATGATACATGTACCACCGATCAGCATGTGCTCTACAGTAATCGATTCTACAAAGCCGAAACTACAACAATTACAAGTCCAAAAAAATCAAAAACAAAGAAAAAAATTATGATTCAGGGTTTGAATTTTGATACACAGCTCAGGAGTGCCAGCGAAACAATATCCGCAAATTTTCACAAATCTTTCTTCAACATATTGATCAAAAGATATATATCCTTCCCTAATATATCAACAATTAGACACATGTGGAAGAGACAATAGAATTGGTGCAATGAAGCGGACAAGAACTGTTTTTAGGAAAACAATCATAAGAATGATATTGAAGAAGAAATTCTCTTTAGTACCCGGCAACACATCCCGAAAAGGAAAAATAAAAAAGAATTCAAGTCATCGTGCATCAGCCTTCTTCCCTGCAGCAGAATAGTAATTGAGATACCATCGAACAAATTTCTTCAACCCTGTTTGAAGATTTGTGGTGGGCTTATAACCAAGCTCCCTGTGAGCCAAACTAATATTAGCATGTGTAAACTGCACATCCCCATTCCTAGGCAACTTCATAACGTTCCTCTTGGCCTTCACCTTCAAAAGCCTTTCAAGAATGGTGACCAGATTGGTAACAGGAATAGGGGAAGTGTTCCCCAAGTTGAAAACTCTCAATTGGGCAGGCCCCTTTTTCTTTCCTCCACTGCCTGTACTCTTTTGTGCAGTATCCAAAGCACCTAAGCACCCCTTAACAATATCATCAATGTAGGTAAAGTCTCGAGCAACCGTCCCATGATTCTCACCTTCAAAAATGGGTATGCTCTTCCCATTCAAGATATCCTTGGTGAAGAAGAAATACGCCATATCAGGCCGTCCCCATGGCCCATACACGGTAAAGAACCTCAACCCAGTAAGGGATAGGCCATAGATATGATTATATGTATGAGCAATTTCCTCCCCAGCCTTTTTGGTAGCAGCATACAAGCTAGCAGGTTGGTCAGTTCTGTCTTTCTCAGAGAAGGGAACTTTTGTATTAAGGCCATAGACAGAACTAGAAGATGCCCACACAATGGCAGGTTGCGGGGTGGCCTCTTTGCAAACCTCTAGCAAGCTAACAAATCCGGCAATGTTGCTGTGGACATAAGAGCCAGGGTTCTGCATTGCGTACCTAACCCCAGCCTGGGCGGCCAAGTGCATTACATGGGTGAATGGCACAACTTCGAACAGCTTCTTCAGCAATGCGGCGTCGTTGATATCTCCTTCTACGATGAACACCCCAGCGCGCTCCAGAAGCGCTTGCCTAGCCCGCTTAAGAGTTGGATCATAGTAATCGTTGAAATTATCGAGGCCCAGAACGCCATCCCCGCGGCGCTTCAAGGCCGACGAGACGTGGGTCCCAACGAAACCGGCAGCGCCGGTGACGAGGACGGAGAAGCCATTGCGGGACCGGATGCGGGCAGAGGTGCGGACTTTCTTCTCCCAGGCGGGTCCGCCCCAAGAAGAGGTGCGTAGGGAACGGCGCGACGGATCAGAATGGAAGCGACTGGAGGAGGACGATGTGGTGGCGGCGGCGGAGGAAGAGGATGAAGACGAAGGGGATCGATAGAAGAAGATGAAGATGACACCAATGAATACAAAGGACCAAAATGTGAGCTTTGCCAAAGAAGAGTGCCACCTCAACCTGCCGCCATGGTAAGGGTAAGCGGATTTGTCCATCTTGAATTTGCCAGGGGTTGAAGGGGTGTGATCAAGATGAGACATTTGCTTCATCTGCGGGGAGCAATGGCGATGGTGGTGGTGGGAAAGAATGGGGAGGGAAAGGGGGAGGCTTGGAAGGAAGGAGTTGATTTTCTTATATTTTGGGGATTCGGGAAAGCTAGAGTTAGGGTTTGCAGCAAATTATTTAGCAGATTGCAGGAAAATGGATCGGATGGAAGGGAAGGACGGGGGTGGGGAAATTGATGGTGCTGAGCAAGATAAGGAGGGAGAGATGCAGTAATGTAGAAATGGTATGGAGTCCCTCTGTTTCTCTATCTATCTCTCTCTCTATATTTTCTCTCGGAGGATCTGCTTTTTTAGCTCTCCGCCATTTTCTTTCTTCGTTGTTTGTTCTTTGTTGTTGGTGCTGCCTGCCTGGTGGTGGTGGTGTGGAGGAGAGGAGACGAGAGGTGTAAGGAATCTTTTTCTTTTCTTTTGTTTCATTTTTCTGTTTAATAAATATGGTTAATTATTAATTTTTTATATTTTTTATTTTCTGGGTTGTTGGAGAGGATGGATCCGTGATGTTATTGTTCTATTGTTTGGGGGGTTTTGGAATTATTATGACTTTTTTTTTTTTACAAGGTGAAATTTTGGAATTTTCTCTTGTTTGTTTTGCCTTTGTTTTTATACTCAATTGATTTTTGGATTGAAACTCCATCTTTTGTGGCAAAATTAGTTGGCAGGGAGAGAAAAAGGAGTCAAAATGAAGGCTGTGATCAAGTAAAGTTAGCCTCATCAGTTGAGTTTGTTTAATGATTCGTTATTGACCCAAAAACATTTCTTCATTGATAAGTAATTTAATTTTGAGAACCCAATGGTGGTTAGGTTATGAAATATGAAATTTAAGAGAGTAGGGGAGGGAAGTCCTTGATTTTTGGAAAACACTCTATTCGAATCTCAAATTGATAGCTACACTTTTTAGGATTTTAGTTTGGCATCGCTTTAGGCGATTAACTATTCTCCTTTTCTCTGTAGATTAATTTTTACCATCTAAATTAATTTTCTAACTGATAGAGGTGGTTGTTTCTTTCATTTTCTTGTTGTTGAGATTACCAACTTACTTGGATAGTTTTACAAAGCTAGGACAACTACTATGGTACCGTTATTAAAAGTGTTGAACTAGTGGTGTTGGTTCTTATTGATATAGGCAGTTATAAGGTGATGCGGCACTATTTTGATTTACTAAAGTTCAGTCCTAACTCAGTAGCTACAAGGCGACTAGGGATGGCAATCAAACCCATGGCCGCGGGTATCCGACCGCCCCCGACCCAGTCAACGCGGGGAATCCCCGCTTTGACCGGGTATGGGGCGGGTATGGGTAAAACCCGCAAAAAGTTTGATGGGTATGGGGCGGGTATGGTTTTTGCCTCCCCGGCCCCATACCCGCCCCACCGAGAGCATTTCTTCACATATAAAAAAATATGTGGATTAAATTGTAATCTATCAATGATGATGATGATAACTCGAGAAAATAAATAGTAGAAATGCAATTGAGTAACCACCTTAATCAAAACCTAATTCATTTCCCTCAGTTCTCCTTCCACTCTTTCACTTCCCCCCTTGTCAACAAGATTATGTTAGTTAATTATTACTTAGTAAATGTATCAAGAGTTAGAGCATAATAATTTAAAATATATTGTAATCTATATTATGTATTAATGGATGTTTTAGGATCATATTCTTTGAATCGTATTTAGAAAATGACCGTGTTTTGTTGACTTCATGATATAATAGGTTTGTTTATGGTTATAATTAAAACTTTTCTTGTAAGTTTTAGGTATAATAATGTTGGATGTATACCCGAAATCCACGGGTATGGGGATGGGTTTGCAAAACATTCCCCCACATGGGTATGGGGCGGGTATGGGTTTGGGTATTTGAAGATGGGGATGGGGATGGTTTAGGCAAACCCACCCCAAACCCGCCCCATTGCCATCCCTAAAGGCGACCCCAAAAAGGCCATTCTTCCAGAGTGACGGAGAATTATTTTGATTTCGTTTCCTCTTGAGTTCGAGTTCGATGAACCAGTGACCTCTCTTCCCTTTGGCCTCATTTATACCCCCTTCGTTTAGGTTCACAAACTATTGGGCCAACCATCTTTCTATCAATATGCTCACCTCCATGGAGCCCTAGATGGATCTCTTGACTCAGAATCACACAACAACGAATTGAATTTGAAGTCAATTCGCTATCTTGAACTAGAACATGGTGAATTTAGGATGGTGGTGGATGGATCTCTCGTGCAATCGTTCACAAGGAAGAAGGCTCGAAAAAAATAGGTTAGAAGCCAACCACGATCAATGGTGAATAGCTTGATCGATACAGCAAACGAGCTACCTAGAACTCGTTCTAAGCAACTCACACACTCATGTAGCAAAGCTTGTGAATCAAACTCGATGTTTGTATGCAATTCAATGAAATCTAACTATTACAATGCAATTGAAAGACTTAAATAGAGCTAGGCTAGGTAAACAAACTAATACGAGAGTTCTAAACACAAACAAACTCGGAATCAAAGTGCAAAACATAAAAGGCAAAGTAATCCTAATCCGAAGAGGATTCGAATTTTGTAGTAAGCAAGACAGTTTAGGGCGACTTTCGATGAAAGTAATCAATTGTCGTTCCACCTTGATTGCAAGGTGAACTGCCTCCTCTAGCTCGACGAAGGATCAAAGATCAGTTCGTGGCGGATGTCACGATTCAATCCATGGAAAAATTGTGAAATTGTGGCCTCCTTATCCTCCCTGACATAAGCTCGCATCATGAGAAACTTAAATTCCTTGAAGTAATCATCAATAGATCGAGTTCCTTGACGAATTCCTTGAAGTGCTTCGTGCAATTCTCGTTGGTAGTAGTCTGGCACAAACCTGTTCTTGATGAGGCCTCTTAATTCGGCCTAGGATCGACTTCGGGCTGTAAATTATGCCGTCGCCGGAGTCGAATATGCTCCCAGGGATATTCATAATGATGGAGATTGCTTCTTGTTCAAGCTTGTAGAGTGAGCCAAAGGGAATCATATCACTCCGTCGGTTGCGCAAACACGTAATCCAGTTTGTTTAGTGAAGCAAAGTGTGAACCCCTCTTATGCTATGTGTGATGATTTACACCTCATGTTCTTCACATGTTCTTGCCCCATATTATATTACTATATGCAATCCAAATGTCTACCAAAATTTCTCCTAATTGTTGTTTTTCTCATGCTTGGTTGTTATGAAGTGTTATCTCTTGAACATTGATGATGTTCCAACGCACACTAACAATCCTAACTTAGGTAATGTATTCCCTAAGTTGAGGAAGTGATGTAATCGAAACCTCAAGGTGGGATTTCATAGGAACATGAGACTATTTCTACTTTGGAGGCTCATTGTCATCTAGTCGAACAATTATTGGTAGATTAATTATGACAAACAAGGAAATTAACTACTCAAAGTACTACTCCAGAGAATGTGGTACTTGGGGTTGACACCCCCGTCTTCTAACTCCAATTATGTGAATTAAGTGAAATGAAACTTCCTTGTATCTTCCCTAGCCATCTATGATCTAAGAATCCCTCATGTAACAATTGGGTCAATGGTCATACCCAATTGTACCTGACTAAGTAATTGACCCAATTATCATGCAATGAACCACCTCGCTTGGGCTTTAAGGGTGGATTCTTGACACAACCCAATGAGAAAATAGGCAAACAATGCAATGGTCATGCAATTATCCACATGTACCATTTGATTCAAGGTTTTAGACTGATTCGAGCCTATTTGTACACATGTATAACCTTTTTCTTTCCCATTTGACTTGTGTAGTATCGTCCTTGGAGCCATTTTATGCTAGGTTTTTGCATGTTTTAGTATTTTTCAGATTCTAGCAAGTGAAATTGGCCAAAGGGTAAAAAGTCGGACAAAAGAGCCAATATAGGGCATTTGTTCACGGGCTCATTGTGTGAAGATTTCACCCAAACTGTGAGCATCTCAGGATTCCAGGAAGACCAAGATGACTCACGCGCAATTGCAGACATCATGATCTCAGGCATGAAGATTTCAACCAGACCGTGAAGTTTGTTATTGAAACGGTGTGCGGAGACAAACAGGGCAACGGCGTCGGCTCAGGCCAGGATAGTGGCGGCGCTTATCCAGGCGGCTGCCACATTGGAGCAGATGCGCGGGGTGGCGATGGCGCCGGTGGGAGCGGACGCGGAGAGCGAGACACTTGGCAACCCTTGTCGTGCGGGCCAAGCTTCAGGCAAACAAGAGAGCAGACCGAGATTACTGCCTACCCCGCCTGGGCTGGGCCTGATGGAGGCCCGCGTTAAAGGGAAGGCTCCCGGCTATGAAGGGGAGCCCATGTTCGGGGATTCCAGAGGCGGATGAACCGGCTTATTTGAGCCCAACCGCACCAGAACAGAGGAGGAGTTTAACTTTGGGGGCCTAGAGGACACATGGATGAACCCAGGGCCACCAGGTACAAATTGGGGTTGGGTTTCTAACCCGAACCGAGATAGATGGGTCCGGCCAGAAACACTCGGGCGAACTAGAACCGATCCACTCTGTACCTACTTGAATCGAAGCGATCATGAACCGATCGGGGCGTACAACAACACAGGAGGTCGACAGTGATGTGAATGATGCTATCAACCTCCCAGCCCGAGGTACTCACCGATGCCCGATGGTCACACCCAGCGCTGATACCGGCAAGGCTGGACACATGGTGGAGCCAGGACAAGGGTCTGGAGCCAGTATGGGGGACTCCAGAGGATACATGAAGGAGAGAGGCGGCTGGTCTCTTCCTCAAACATTCCAGTATGAGCCAGAGTCGGGGTTCAGGGGAGGCGCGAGTTAGTTTCACCCGGGAATGGAGAGGTATGGAGGACACCACCCACTCCATGGTATGACTGATAACATGGTATTTTGAGTTAAACCGCCTGTTATAGAGTTTCCTAAGTTTGATCTTCATGGCGATATGGGATTATGGTTGTATGCAGCGGAGAGGTGGTTCAGGAACCTAGAGGGAGATGCACTGCAGTGGTGGGAATGGATGGGGCGGTCGTATGCCACAGTGGACGCGATTATTACTTAGCAGATGTTCCAAGAGGAGCTTAGGTACAAGTTTAGTAAAGTAGAGGGGTGGGCACCAGAGCAGTTGGTCAAACTGAAGCAAACAGGTATGGTGGAGGAGTATAGGGCCGAATTCCTGAAGTTAGGGAACCAGTGCAGGGGAAGGGCAGAAGAGACCATCATGGAGTTGCGTATGGCGGGATTGAAGTCGTAGCTGGCAGCCTCGGTCCGTGTGTTTGAACCTAATTATTTACGGGTTGCGTTTAAGTTTGCAGGTCATAAGGAGGAGGAACTTGCTAGCTGGAAGGGGAGTGTGGGGCGCTTTTCGAGGAGCGCAGGCGGATCTGGAGGGGGACTCTCCTCTGCACCAACCTCTGGTGGACAGACTGCACTGGGAACTGCAAAGTCGGTAGATACAGGAGTCACGCCTGGCGGCGTATTCCAGCTCGTTGACTCACTTCTACTGTCACTCCAGGAATTGGCCAAGTGAAACCACTTCCTAAAGCGTAGTATAGCGGGTTTGGGTTTAAATGTCAACCCGGGTCCTAGATTTGATGACTACTCGGTGAATTCTTGTTATCTAGCAATGAAACTTTAATGCAAGTCTAAACTAACAAACTAACAAAGCAAGTAAATTGTTGTATTCAGGTTAAGAGAGGTCACCCGGATATGGTTCCCCCTAGACTGCAGTTAAGCCGGATTGTAATTACCAAGTTCAGTTTCTATGATAGTTATACTGCGGAAGGTTCTTAAACAGCCTGAAGTCTCGACTAAAGGTCTTCAGACCCTCTCAATCTGAGTCTCTAGCGGGCGACTAACCTCCACCGGAGTAAACAGATTGAGGCCTTAACAAACAAAACCTCCACTACCGGAGTAAATCCGGTACAGAATAGTGAGTTGGCTCCTCGACTAAAGTCACCAACTCCCTACCTTCAATCAAGGATGCTCTATCAACCTAGGCAGATATTCTCATTCTAGGTTAAAGCAGAAACAACAGGAATTTGATCAGGATTCATGCCATTCAATCAATCAAACCTCAATTGAATATAATCAAATCATAGAATCAGTACTTGGGTTCATACAATCAAACCTAACATACAAATCTAGGGTTCTCCATACCCAGATGAATGGGAGAACTACTCCATGGAGAAAGAAGCAAAAGCAGAATCAGACGCGGAATTCATACTGTGAAAGATGGATTCCTGCTCCTGGACATTAATTGGCACTCCTCCAAGCTCAAGCCAAGCTCCAATGGTGATGAAGATCAAGCTAGGGCACTTGGAGACTCTTGTTCGTCGCTTTCTCTCTCTAGGAATCGCTCTGTCTCTCTAAAACTCTAATCCCCTTCTGTTTTGGCTGAAATCTGCTTAAAAGGGCATCAGTAACCAAAGCACGGTCGAGGGCACGGCCGTGCTTTGCCTCAGCCCGCCCGTGCTTTGGCTAGGGTTAATTACACTGCCATTGTGTTGGGAGAAACACGGCCGTGCTTTTGGGAGGACACGGCCGTGCTTTGGTGGACACGACCGTGCTTTCAGCCCGTGTTTGCAGCTTGAATTTTCCAAACTCAATTAGCTCTCGGCAGTAAAAGCACGGCCACAGAACACGGCCGTGTTCTGTTTTAGGTGTGCCCGTGTTTTGGCTCCAGCTTGACGAAATGACTTCCGAATGCCCCGAAACTCGTGCTTAGCCTTTCCTTTGACGCCTGGGACCTGAAATATGACAAAATAGCACAACCCGGTGTAAAATAGGCAAAAAATACACGACTATGCCCCTCAAACGGATAAGAACTAGGGGCGCAAATATGTGCAATTACATCGTTATCAAACTCCCCCACACTTAACCGTTTTCTTGTCCCCAAGCAAACCTAACTCAAACCAATGCAGCTCTCCAGACCTCTATAGCAACAAACAACCCAGATCGTAGGTAGAGGACTTCCTAGATCATTTAGCAGCTTACGAGGTCAACCGACGCACAAGTTATCTCATAGCTTCTTCGGCGAGAGCACTAGTATCGAGTCGGCATCATGGCAAATAGTGAACAGAGGACAAATGAATTGTGGATGAAGAGATTCTCAAAAACAAAGGATCATGGACTCACATTTTTCAAGGTGCTCTATTTTCTTCTTGAAGATGGTTGGAACCCCTTTTCTTTCTGTTTTGCTTGTTTTCTGTTATTTTATTTTATCAAGGGTCCCAACCTGCTTTTCAGAAAATGGGGGCTCCCACCTAGCAGAGGTTTTTCGGGAGCCCGGCTCTTACCGGCCATGCCAGGAGCGGGTGTCTCGAGCCTCGTGCAGGGGAAAGACATGTAAGGGGGCTGGAGGTAGTAGGTGGAAATTGGGAACGAATTCCCGTCTCCCCTTACACAGTTTCGCCCTATTCGCACGGGAGACGTTATTTCAAAGCACATTTTCGAGCACCTGTTATTTTCAAAACATGATACAAGAGTCCATGACAGGTAGAGAGTCCACAACACCACACAATTCAAGGGTCCTAAGATCACTAATTCACTCAATCAACCAATACAATATGAAGAAGAAATGAGACTTCTTAAATGCATCAACATCCTCCATAGTGCTACACTACCTCCCTAGGTTGCATATTACTATAAAGACTGTCAATTCAAAGCATACTGAGCAGGCAATTGCAAGGAACACGTACTTGGAGCCCTCAAATTTAAAAATTTGGACAGTGGACTAGGCTCCAAGCACACAAACAGATCTAATGCAGTCAAAAGTCAAAAGATAAACATCCCCCCATACTTAAGATCGACATTGCCCTCAATGGAGAAGAGGGAAGGAAAAGGGGAACGATGTTACCGGTATGCACGGACTGCAGGGGACTGGAAGCGGACCAGTCGGAGTGAAGCGGACGGGAGAGAGGACCGGTCAAGACAAGCACAGCTAAAGGAAACCAAAGAGCTCAAACACAATATGTTAGGTTCAATGGTCAGCCCAATAATATATCATTCAAAACAAAAGAAAACAAACCAAACCCAAACCGGTTTACAATCCGACTCAAAACACAAGAAAGACAGTCAAACCGTGGTGGGGTTGCCTCCCCACAAGCGCTTCTTTACCGTCTTTTAGCTGGACGCCCATGGTGGATACTCAGGGAGGTGCAAGAACAGGTGCCTCCAAGAGCGGATCCACGTCGCTCTTGAGGTACAGCTTCAGGTTGTGGCCATGCACCCGACGGATGCGACCACCATCATCGGTCAGCTCGACCTGGCCATCCGGCAAGATGCAGGCGAGTGAGTACCCGGACGGCCAGGGTGGTCGTGGTGCAGGAGGTGGGACTAGCTCATAGTGGTCTCCACCCTTCTTCCGTGCAGGCTTAGCAACCTGCTGCTTCGGCCGCCACTCCTCCTTGAGCTTTTTGTTCGGAGGCGAGGCTGGATGGAGTGGCGGCGAAGGAATGATAGGAGGATCCTGCAAAATAAGAGGTGCAGAAGGGTACACGACAGGCTCGTGTACCTGATCAGAAATGGCATGCACAGGTGTGACAGCAATCATAGCACAGTGATCAAATTCAGTCACAGAAAAAGTAGCCTGTTCATTCCCAGCACGCAGGATCAGTTTACCATCATGCACATCAATAAGTGCCTTGGCGGTGGCAAGAAATGGTCTACCCAGAATCAAAGGCACATCCACCTCCTCATGTATATCAAGAATAACAAAATCAACAGGATATGTGAATGGACCGACATTAACAAGCAGATCCTCTATGATTCCCCTAGGATGCACAATGGAACGATCAGCTAGCTGAATGCTCATCCTAGTAGGGCTAAGTTCACCTAGGTCTAGCTTTTTATACAACTTATATGGCATGACATTTATGCTAGCGCCTAGGTCCGCCAAGGACTTGCCTACATGCATGCTGCCAATAGTAAGAGGGATAGTAAAACTCCCTGGATCCTTGCGCTTTTCGGGCAGCTTGTTCTGCAGGATAGCAGAACACTCCTCGCTCAGCAACACTGTCGAGAGATCCCCAAGTTTCTTCTTGTTGGTGAGGAGATCTTTCATGAACTTGGCATACTTGGGCATCTTCGACAATGCCTCCACGAACGGTATGCTAATGTTGAGCTGCTTCAACATTGCCATAAACTTGGCAAACTCAGTCTCCAACTTGTCTTTGTGTAGGCGAGTGGGGAAGGGAAGCTGGGGTACATGCTCCTTAACCACTAGTTGTGGCTTGGTAGTAGGGGCTTCCTTCTCCACCCGCACTTCTGCATCGTCGGCTGGAAGTGCTGAAGCAGGTAGTGGTTCCTCCTGCCTGGCCGGGACAGGATCAGCAAATATGGTCTTACCGCTCCTGGTAAAAATGGCATCCAGCTGCTGGAGCTGGTGAGGATCCCGAGGATTCGGGATAGTGGTGGCAGGCAGAGTCCCCGGTGCCCTGGTAGTGTTTTGGCGGGCCAAGATACCCACCTGGGTCTGCAGATCTTGCAAAATGGCACCCTGGTTCCGCTGACCTGCCTCCAGTGACGTGATAGCAGCCTGAGTGCTAGTCATGAATGAAGCTAGAATATTTTCCAGCTTTGTCATCGGGTCATCTGGGGCAAGGGTTGCTGCTGGCTCGACAAACTGGCGCTGGGGCTGTTGGAATGGTTGCCCCTGCCTAGGCTGGTAGGGCTGTTGCTGTGGGGCTGGCCCCTGTCGAGCCTGGAAGGGCTGCCTCTGCTGAAAACCACCTGCTGGTGCTGGCAAACCAGGTGGTTTAGTGGTGTTGCTGCTCCAGGCGAAGTTGGGATGCTGGCGCCACCCCTCATTATATGTGTTGCTGTACGGGTCGAGGCGCCGAGCATTGGCGATGAAGTCCAACTGCTCTTGGGGAGTGGTATACTCCTCATAGCCTGGCAGTCCTCCACTAGGTGATTGGAGCTCTCGCACCACTGACATTGAGCTACTGGAGGTGTAGCCAAACCTCTGCCCGGAATAAGACTGTTGGGCTGCTTCAATGTCTGCACTAGCTCAGCTACCTGCTGCTCGAGCCCGGATCTGGTCGCCATGGCGTGCACACCACGGTCCCGGGACTGTCTTCCTCGGCTACCCTGTCCCCAAGAATGATCTCTGGCAGCCAAAGTACTGATCATCTGGTTCAGCTCGGGTGGAGTCTTAGTAAGAATATCCCCTCCTGGGCATAGAGACTCAATCACCCTCTGGCTGTCTGGAGAGAGAGCACTGTAGAAGTTCCCCACTGTGAATGCATCACTAAAGCCATGATGGGGACACTGCCAGAAATATCCCATGTACCGCTCCCATGCATCACGAAGTGACTCATCTGGCTCTTGGCGGAAGTGAGTGATCTCCCGCTGGATCTCTGTAGTCTTCGATGCCGGATAGTGCCTGTGCACAAATTTGTCAGCCAGATCGTCCCAAGAGGTGATGGACAATGGGGGCTGGGTCTCCAACCATCTCTTAGCATTCCCCGCCAGAGAATGGGGGAAGAGGTGAAGACGGATTGCATCATCAGGGACACCATTCAGCTTGAACCCGTTCGTCAGCTGCAGAAAACGGGAAAGATGTATCCTGGCCTCCTCATCCTTCAAGCCATGGAACTGGATAGAGGATGTAATGAGCTGAATCCAGCATGGCTTGATCTGGAAGTTGTTCGCTGGAATAGGTGGGTAGAGGATGACCGGGCGGATGTCAGCAATCTGTGGAGTGTAGTAGTACTCCAATGTGGTACCCGGCGATGGTGGATGATGAACCCCATGATCCTGGGGTATGGGGTTGTTCCCCAGGACCTGATTCACCGGGGGAACCTACTGCGGATTCCCTTGGTGTGGATTGTATTCTCCGTCCATCCCGTACTCTTCCTCAGAATCGCTGCTCAGGTTGCCGTCTATGCTCTCTTCCGTAGCCAGTCTAGCTCGTTGTTGTCTCCTGAGTTGGCGGCAGGTGCGGTCAATCTCTGGATTCAACGACAGTAAACCTCCTGACTGGCTATGGGTCATGCACTACTTGCACACACTCAAGCAAGCAAACCCGTGAAGGCACAAGTGGGACAAAGCAAACAATGCGAAAAGAAAAGCTAAATTAACAGAAATCACTTTTCTTCAACAACCTAGCCGTCCCCGGCAACGGCGCCAAAAACTTGACTCACTTCTACTGTCACTCCAGGAATTGGCCAAGTGAAACCACTTCCTAAAGCGTAGTATAGCAGGTTTGGGTTTAAATGTCAACCCGAGTCCTAGATTTGATGACTACTCGGTGAATTCTCGTTATCTAGCAATGAAACTTTAATGCAATTCTAAACTAACAAACTAACAAAGCAAGTAAATTGTTGTATTCAGGTTAAGAGAGGTCACCCGGATATGGTTCCCCCTAGACTGCAGTTAAGCCGGATTATAATTACCAAGTTCAGTTTCTATGATAGTTATACTGCGGAAGGTTCTTAAACAGCCTGAAGTCTCGACTAAAGGTCTTCAGACCCTCTCAATCTGAGTCTCTAGCGGGCGACTAACCTCCACCGGAGTAAACAGATTGAGGCCTTAACAAACAAAACCTCCACTACCGGAGTAAATCCGGTACAGAATAGTGAGTTGGCTCCTCGACTAAAGTCACCAACTCCCTACCTTCAATCAAGGATGCTCTATCAACCTAGGCAGATATTCTCATTCTAGATTAAAGCAGAAACAACAGGAATTTGATCAGGATTCATGCCATTCAATCAATCAAACCTCAATTGAATATAATCAAATCATAGAATCAGTACTTGGGTTCATATAATCAAACCTAACATACAAATCTAGGGTTCTCCATACCCAGATGAATGGGAGAACTACTCCATGGAGAAAGAAGCAAAAGCAGAATCAGACGCGGAATTCATACTGTGAAAGATGGATTCCTGCTCCTGGACGTTTATTCGCACTCCTCCAAGCTCAAGCCAAGCTCCAATGGTGATGAAGATCAAGCTAGGGCACTTGGAGACTCTTGTTCGTCGCTTTCTCTCTCTAGGAATCGCTCTGTCTCTCTAAAACTCGAATCCCCTTCTGTTTTGGCTGAAATCTGCTTAAAAGGGCATCAGTGGCCAAAGCATGGTCGAGGGCACGGCCGTGCTTTGCCTCAGCCCGCCCGTGCTTTGGCTAGGGTTAATTACACTGCCATTGTGTTGGGAGAAACACGGCCGTGCTTTTGGGAGGACACGGCCGTGCTTTGGTGGACACGGCCGTGCTTTCAGCCCGTGTTTGCAGCTTGAATTTTCCAAACTCAATTAGCTCTCGGCAGTAAAAGCACGGCCACAGAACACGGCCGTGTTCTGTTTTAGGTGTGCCCATGTTTTGTCTCCAGCTTGACGAAATGACTTCCAAATGCCCCGAAACTCGTGCTTAGCCTTTCTTTTGACGCCTGGGACCTGAAATATGACAAAATAGCACAACCCGGCGTAAAATAGGCCAAAAATACACGACTATGACCCTCAAACGGATAAGAACTAGGGGCGCAAATATGTGCAATTACATCGTTATCACTCGTCTACCGCCAAAGGGATTTGTAAAGTTGACTCTGGCAGAGATGGAACAGAAGCGCATGGAAGGGCGATGCTTTAACTGCGATGAGAGATACACTGTGGGACACCCGTGCGCCAAGGGGCATCTCATGTTGCTCGTGGGTAACTAGGAGGATGAAGGAGAGGAGGCCGTGAATGTAGATGCTAAGGAACCAAGGAAGGAGGCGGACCAACCTTGACGGCAAGGTTGGTCTCAAGTAGGGGTGGCTATACGGTCCGGTCCGGTTAAATTGGACCAAATTGATCCGGTCCCAGTCCGGACTTTTCGGGAATATAAGGACCAAAGATTGGATTGGATACAGTCCAGTCTTGATCCGGTCCGGTCTTGACCCGGTCCGGTCCCAATTATTCCCTAAACACTAAATCTCTCTCTCCCTCTCTTCCTTCCCCTGTAGCTGTCAGCTCTCCTCTTCCTTGTGGAGACCGATTTCCTTCTTCTTCCTCAAGCTTCTCCTTCCAATCCCCAATTCCTACATCAATTCTCAATTCTATGAGTCCGTTCATCGATACACGAACCCTAGACATTCACGCCTAGATCCGTGTTTCTTACAATTTCCTTCACTCCATCAGTACTGATGCATATGTTATCGACTAATTTAGATTTTCACTTGTCTTTATCATCATATTTTGGCACAACCCACTCTTGCACCATGCTTTGTTGGATGATCCATACAAAGAGGCATCCTAATCCGACTCGCAACCTTACCAAGATCCTCCTTTAATAATAACTCCGCTCATAATCTTGTTAGTTTGACCCAATCAAGAATGGCTGAGTTATCAATATCGTGAGCTTGAATATTTGGAACCCAACACCTTAAACACAACATGTTATTGCGATACCGCCATGATCCTCGTTCAAACACCCATTGACAGCTAGCCTCAGAGGGAAATTGAAATAATACCACGAACCAAGAAATCTTCTCCTCTCCTCGCCCCTATAGCCAATTATCCCATCGACAGCTCGTCCCTCCTTAATGAATGATTTGGGAATACGAAGGGATCCATTCATGAGCTCCGACTAATAATACTCTAATTTGTTATCTTCCAAAGCACAGAAAAGGGAAGTCCAAATCTGACTACCATCAACGATGTCTGGTAAGGCTCCTTCAGCGGCGACCGCCATCCTTTTTAATTATAAATATAGTTTTCATAATTTCACGTACCCATATAGATAGTCTAGCTGGCTATTAGCAGTTAAGTTAAGACAAAAAAAAAGTGGTATATTATTAATGAATTGAATAAAGAAGGAATTTAAAATCCACAATGTCAGATAAATCTAAAACGGTATCCTAGAAATGATAAATGATAAATTTGGTTATAAGAGATGGATTACTTATTGTGACAAAAACAAAATACAATAGAAGTGGAGGACATTGGAAAGTGACATGATCTACATATTCACATGCACCATTGTGCTAGTGTAATTCATATCTTCTACTTTTGTATTAATGTTATCTATAATATTAACATACTTGTTAGACCTTTATATGTTGAGTAGCATATTCTTTCCTAACAAGTAATGATACATTTGTTATATTATTAAAATTTTTTATATAAAATATAAAGAAAAATCAATGGATTGAACTATAAGCTATATTAATATTAGCTAAATTCTCAAATTGAACACAAAACAAGGTTAGCTTTACAAGGTCTTGGTGCATGCTTGCCCTTGCTATAGAATTGCTATTAAACGGAGAAGAAAAGGAGGAAAACTCAAACGACATAAAAGGAGAAGCCATATACCGTTTGGGGAGATGAAAAATGACATGAGTTTCAGTGGCTCAAAATGGAGGGCAAGTATGAGAGAATTAATATGACCCAATGATATGAATAGCCTATTGCAGTTAAAGCCAAGTACCACACCCTTTTCCCTTTATCCTTTTGTCCTTTTTTTTCTCCTTCCCCTCGCTGGTTTATACGTACTCTAACCACATATATTATTCTAGTCCACATAACAAAACTTCATAATGTACGTACGAACCTCCATAATCATATTTTTTCTTCTTCTTATAGACGTACGTGCGGCGGCGCCACCATATCTCTCTCACAATGACATTGCAATCAGAAACACGTACATAAAACCCCATAATTTTATTTTATTATACCGTGGAAAAAGTCTCGATCATATAATCTGGTTCCTTCATCCCACCACGTATCATCCAAACTCCTGGCACGTTGTCCTTTAGTCTCTCATCTATGTCTGTCTCTCTCTATCTCATCTCGCATCATTCTCATTTTCCAATAACCATTACTTAGGCTAAAAACAAGGTCACTCCCTCAAAAACTCACCATTCTCCCTCTTCACTTTCACTACAAGAAGAAACAAACATACATCCGCCTCCCACAATTCCCCTTTGTGTTTTTCTTACATTGCATTGACTCATTTTCTTTGTTCATCCCCTTCTTTGTTCATCTCTTTTTTTCTTCACCCTTTATAGTATTACCTAAATTTTATCAATCGTCAATTCCTTGTTCTGAGATTTTGCAAGCCTCTTTCTCATTGTATGGCACTAATTGTGGATCAACAATCAGGATTCAAACATTATTGCAAGATTTGCAAGAAGGGGTTTGGATGCGGGAGAGCCCTTGGGGGCCACATGAGAGCTCATGGGATTGGAGACGATATTGCAGATCACATGGAAGAGGAAGATCCCACAAGTGATTGGGAAGACAAATTACCAAATGAAGATAATAATGTGGCCCCCACGAATAAGAGAATGTATGCATTAAGAACAAACCCTAATCGCCTAAAGAGCACTCGCGCTTGTGAGAATTGTGGAAAAGAGTTCTTCTCTTGGAAATCATTCCTTGAGCATGAAAATGGAAAATGCACCTCCGAAGATGTCGATTCCTTAATCTCTTCCCCTCCTTCTGACGAAGGTGAAGAGTATGGCCCCACAATGAGGGGAAGCAGTGGTGGTGGTTGGTCCAAAAGGAAGAGGTCCTTCAGAGCTAAGGTTGGCATTGGTAATAACAACAACAATAACAACTCCATTTGCGCATCAAGCGAGGAAGAGGATCTAGCCAATTGTCTCATGATGTTATCCAATGCCACAAACACAGTGGATCATCCTCCTTTGATGGTCGAACCAGAGGAGTCATGTGCATCGGCGAGTAAAGATGAGGATCGAAGAAATTCCAACAACTTAATCGCTCCAGTTACTAACATTATGTATCAGCCTGCGATGGCGCCAACCGTTGACAAGGCCAAGGCAAGTAAAGGGTTGTTTGAATGTAAGGCTTGCAAGAAAGTTTTCAATTCACACCAAGCACTTGGAGGGCATAGGGCTAGTCACAAGAAAGTTAAAGGTTGTTTCGCTGCCAGACTTGATAACCACCATAATAACCAAGCTTCTGTCATTGGTGATAGCATGGCTGATGATGATGCCATCACCATGCAACAGGATGACACGTCAATGAAAGTGGCATCGTCGAGCTTTCAGTTCGACCATGGGTCTCAACCTATTGCTTCACCCTCAAAGAGGAAATCTAAAGTTCATGAGTGTTCCATTTGCCACCGGGTGTTCTCTTCCGGCCAAGCATTGGGCGGTCACAAACGTTGTCATTGGATTACATCCAATTTGCCCACAGCCGATGCCTCATCGTTGGCCACAAAATTTCACCAATTTCAAGATCATCTAGAGCAAATTCAACACAGATCTCCCAAGTTTATTAGGACGATAAGTAATTCTGAGCCCTTGGATCTCACGCTTGATCTTAATCTTCCAGTTACTTCCATGGTGGTCGCCAACAATACAAACCAAGCTACAAGGCAAGGCCATCCTCGTAATCATCCTTCTCCTAACAACTTTGCAATGGCTGCTGAGGTTTACTTACAGTCGTGGATGGGAAAAGAGAAAAAGATAGACCAAAATGATGAGGAGAGTATTAAGAAGAGTCATGACAAGAATAACGAAAATGGCAATGTTTCTTCGTCGACGCAGACGGTGGATGACGAAGCAGACAGTAAAGTGAAATTAGCAAAGCTTAGTGAACTTAAGGACGTACATATCAACGGGAATTCATCACCATGGTTGCAGGTGGGAATCGGTTCCACCGCCAATGTGGGCGCAGACCATTGACCTAAACCAAAATCGGTCTTTTCTTCTTTATTTTTTTGTGTGAAAAAGATATACCTTTTTTCCATTTGAGAATTCCATCTCTTGTGAATTTTTTTAACTGAATTTTGTATTTACAAACTGTAATTACAGAATTGAACACGAGATGATTAGCATAAATTATAAACATACAGAATACTCATGTAATAGCTTATGTACTTTTTATTTTCCATTTTACACCTTTTGTTTCTGGAACAGGAAATTGAATCCAATCTAGTATTTCTTATGTGGATGATATTTCTCATAGAAACCTGTAATTTTTTCAAAAGAAACATAAAAAACATGATACTCAACATATTTGAGAGTACATACAGTATATTTTTCCCTTATCAATAACTTTTTGATTTCGTTATTAATTAGCATCCTAATTTTGGGATCATTTATTGTATGGTAAGTCCATTAATTATTTTATCATTTTATATGATTTGTTTTTTTTTTGTTGTGTTATTGATTTGATCCATTTTATACATGTTTACACCCCTTTATCTTTGTCGTTTGACTTGTGTATCATCGTTCTTGGAGCCATTTTATGCTAGGTTTTGTCATGTTTTAGTGTGTTTCAAGCTCTAGCAAGTGAAATGGGCGAAAGGATCGAAAGTCAGTCAAACAAGAGCCAAAATGGGACTAAGTGATGGAGATGTCAATGTTCAAGGTTCAGGACAGATCATCACTGTCTCAGACCGTGAAGATTACCTCAAAACCATGATCGATATAAGTTCCCTGGAGGCTTTGGACATCTTGTGGGTATGAAGAATGCAAGGAAATCATGAAGTTTGTAAGTGAAATAGTGAGTTTTGTGTCGACATCACAGTTTCAGTGCACACATCACGGGCATGATGCATGACCGTGAAGATTACTAACGGGTATAAATATGAAGAGAGAGAAGATTTAAAAGGAAATGGAACCATGGTCCACGAAACCAGATCGGACCGGCCGGTTGAACTAGTAATATAGGAAATTGGACCAAATTTGAAATGGTACAGCCAAGTGCTCCAATTTAGAGTGTCAGATGGTTTTATAGTCTGAATCGCAAAACCGCGAAATACCGGACGGTTTTGATCTGACCGGCCGGTAAAGGAAAAAGGGAGGATTTGATCGAGAATCCGGCGAACTCCTCGTCGATGGGAAGGAGAAAGGGAGACAAGATCTTTGAGAATGACCAAGGATTCGGCGAAATGCCCATCGACAGAGAAGGAGAAAGGGTAGCTACATCACCGACATATTTCTTCAGATCTCTTAGTCCGAACCCGAGCTATCCCCTTCCCCTCCTGCCCTGTGTCCAACTCCGGCCTCCGACGGTCCCTTCCTGCACGGTCTCTTCTCAGCCTCCACTCTATTTGATTTGGTGCTCGGTTTGTTTGGCAGTCAGAGAATGGGGAATTGGTGATGAAGGGTGTGGAAAATTGATTTTGATGGTGAGGCCGTCGTACAAGAAGGAGGGAGATAGAGATAAAGATATATATAGAGAGGGGGGGGGGGGGGGGGGGGGTAGAATATGGGGTATGGGAAATAGTAATTGATTTCTGATAGGTTTTGTGCCGTGGATAGTGGGATATGGGGTAATGGGAAATAATAACTGATTTCTGATAGGTTTTGGGTCGTGATTAGAGGGATAATTAAGTAAAATTATACAATCAGCCATCCATCTACCGATTATTTCACAATTAGTTCTAATTTAATTAATTATCTATCGTTGCATACTTCTATTACAATCTTACAACCTCATTCCTATACTTCTATTGATGTACACATTGGTGTATGATTATATTTATATATTTTATGATTTTCTATCCGGTATATTTCGGTTTTATTCCGGTATTATTCAAAATGGTACTATATTCTGGTTGGCATGGTATTTTGACAAAACAATATTTTATTATTATAAAAATGGTATTTATCGGTTCAAAATGGTTGAACCACGATCGTACCACAAAATACCCTACCACAAAGGAATCCGGTATGACGTCTGGTACGGTTTCCTGAACCATGATTGGAACTAGTGAGAGAATTGGAGATTTCCTTCAACCTAGAGAGAGTGACGAAAAAGTTGATTTGTGCTCTCAAATAGAGATTTGGAGGCTTGATTCCACCTTCAACACCATCCTAAGCAACCAAAGAGGAGGAACATGACATTTTTGTGGTGGTTTTTTTCCTATTTGGTGGTGTTTCTCACTCTAGGCATGGAGTAGTACTCCTAGTCAATTGGATGATGTAGAACCCTAGTCTATTATGTTGTAGTTGAATGATTGGAACCCTATGAGTTGATTTGCATGATTGATTATATATTGATTTGTGCATTATAAAGGAAAATTGGAGGTTCTTTATCACCTCCCCCAATTTGGTGCTAATTGATCTAAGTGAGAGAATATCTTGCGAGGGCTAATTTAGAGCATTTCCTAATAAACCTTTTGGGGTCTATGAACGAGTGTGATTAGACTCCTACCGAACTTCCCAGTCTTTACCCAATTGAGGAGTCGATTTGGTTTTCCCACTTGCCGAGGTCGGGGTTCGTATGCCTCTCTGAGTAGAACAATTGCACGGGTCAAGACAACTCGATTGGAGACTCCTAACTAGCTTGGAACTCCTACAATACATGCTAAGTGTGAATCCCACTAGGATATCAAAATATTGACTGAACATAGGATAGGGGGAAGCTCATCCTTGAGGTTTTTCCAATTTGAATCCACTCACAATTTACTTGCATTTGTTTAGTTTGTAATTTAAAACAACAAATCAATCTCTAGATAATGCTAGGTTGATGAAGTAAAGGTAGATAGACCGCCCGGGTTTGATAATTCGAAAATACTTGCTCTATACTACACCCGATTGAAGGTTGCACTTGGCCTTCAATTACGATAGGTATAGTCAGTAGTGAGCCAAGTTTTTCTGGCACCATTGTCGGGGACAACGGTCTATTATCCAGAAAAGGGATCTATTGTTAATCTAGCTTTTCTTTTCTTAATTTTGTGTCGGACCTTGGTTTTGTTTTCTACGCTTGCGTCATTTGAAGTGGTTTGAGATGGTGTATGACTCAGAGCAACCCGGATCACTTGGTGCCACTAGACGACAACATTAATTTGACTCTCCAACTACTTGCTCGTGACAGGGAGTTAAAGGAAGCAAGGGAGAGACTCGTGATTTGGGCTCAACCCAAAGAAGAAGAGATAGTTGAAGAGGAGGAGTGTGTGGTTCCCAACATGGCCAACCAAGTTGCTCTACAAGGTGATGAGGAGAGGACCATGAGATATTACATGTCCCAATGGGTGGAGGATATCCAACAAAGAATCCAACATCCCACCATGGCGGCAAAAAATTTTGAGATCAAGACCAGTCTTGTCTTAATGATCCAAAATACCAATGATAACACAGTATTTGCACATGTTTTCCTCCTCATTTTTGGACGGTTTGGGATAGGTTTGTTGCAACAAAAGGCCGATTTTACGCTAGGTTGTGTTCGTTTTTAAAATTTCAGGGCCTAGTTTGTGGAAGAAGTCTTTGGGGCAACATATTGATCAAATGGAGCAGAGATAGATCGAGAGTTGCATAGCAAATTGCGGAGAACGGCCAAGTAATAACATCATATTTACACATGTTTTTCCAACATTTCTTGATCGTTTGACTTGTAAGTTGGTTGATTTGTGGCCCATTTTATGCTAGGTAGTGCTTCTAGTTGGTGTTTCAGGTCCTAGTATGTGAATGGAGGCTTAAGAGCAAGTCTAGCTGCAACTGGAGAGAAGACGGGATCTAGAACAAATAAGCAAAATCCACGGTCTTGGAGTCCAAATCCACGATCATGGAATTGACGTTGGACCGTGCTTTTTGGGCAGTAATTTCCCCCGACCTGGTGTTTGCATTCCACGACCAGGGATTTATCTGGGGAGACGGTGGATTTCTGCCGAGGATCACTAATGAGAGACACGTCGTTTTGGAATTCCATGATCTGGAGGCCATTTCCATAACCGTGGATTCTGCTCGTGGATTCCAATCACGAGGCTACTAAGGTGAAACTCGGGCTTTTTTGTCCATGTAATCCGGTTTTGCAAGTTCTGAAACAACAAGAGAGAACCCTATAGAGAGAAAGTGATGAAGAAAAACCTTGGGAAGGGATTGGAGCGATCTAAGGACAATGGAGCTCGATCTATCACCCATAGAGTGCCGATTTCCAGCTTGGAGCATAATTTCATCCCTCACATGATGATTTCTCCTTCAAGCTTTGTGTTTTCTCTTCTCACCATGGAGTAAACTATCTTTTCAATTGGGTATGAAGAACCCTAGTCGTGTCTGTTAGGAATGGTTTTATGAACCCAATATCGTGAATGATTAACTTGATATATTCAATTGAGGCATTATCCAGAATTACATGAGTCCTGATCAAATTTTTGTTATTCCTGCTTTAACCTAGAATGATAGTCTCTACATAGTTTAATAGAGAAACTTTAATTGGAAGTAGTGAATCGATTAATTTAGTCGAGGAATCAATTCACCGTTCTGTACTAGATTTAAAAACTAGTAGTGGAAGTTTGGTGTGTTAGTGCCTCGGTTAGCTTATTCCGATGGAGGTTAGTCGCCCGCTGGGTATTCGAACTGATAGGGTATGTAATTCTTTATTCGAGATTCCAGACTTATCAAGAACTTTACGCAGTATATCTTTCAATTGAAATGAATTTGGGAAATTACAATCTGAATTAACTGCAGGCTAGGGGGCCGCATACCTGGGTGATCTTTCTCATACTTGAAACCAGAACATTTACTGCTTCTATTTACTTTGCTTGTGAACACTTCACTCGAACTCAACTGCTAAATAATATATTTGCATGGAGCAACCACTAGACCTAGGACTCGGCTGGACAAATAGAACCTGAACCACTATACTGCATTCCTAGAATGCAATTATGTAAAACCCATATATACTTTAAAACATTCACAAGATCATACCGATTAAAGCCTTTTACAATTTCGTTTAA